AGATAGAAACCTTCCAATGACTATCATGAACTTCAAACAATCCTTCTGTATCTTCTTCCTCATGTGGTGCCGTATAATTCGCGCCATACCCGTTCACATGGAAACCGTACGGGCGTTGAAAGGCCGTATTGTTTGTTGTAGCCAGAAGCTGGTTGGAGTAAGTGGAGGCCACTCCGTTCGTCTTTGGGCAAACCCCGTACATCATCATAAACGGTGTTGCAGCACCAGCAGGATTGCCACCCCCACCCACGGAAAATCGCTGGCGAAACTGTTCGGAACCAAACATGTGTATATTGTATTTATATGTATATATATATATGTATGTATGTATCGACCTCCCTCTATTTCCTCTTTTATTTATATATAATATATAAGTTTAAATAGATTTTTTTTTTTTTTTTTTTCTTTCAGCCCTCGTCTAAATTTCTAACACCCTTGCGACCAGAAGAACAACAACAACAGAGAAAAAAAAAAAAAAAAAAAAAAAAGAGAGAGAGAGAGAGAGAGAGAGAGAGGTCAACTCACTCCTGTCGTGTCTTGGGGGTAGTAGCAGCTGCTCCTCTTTTATGGAGGTGCGGCGAGATCCCACTCCCTCTGGGCACTTCTGCCTACCGTTTGTTCCCCTCTTTCTCCTTTTTTTTTTTTTCCCTTTTTTTAAAATTAATTAATTAATTTATTTATTGGTCTTCTCTCCTTGTGTGCCTACCTGCCGTGTTCCCCTGCGCTGAGCGAGGGGCGTGTGACGCAAAAAACAAAAAAAAAAAGAAAAAGAAAAACAACAACAACAACAAAGAGCGGGATTGCGAGGGGGCAAGGGACAGGTACACACAACAGCAGGAGATGGCTGAAATTCCAACCTGCAGAAACAAACACATCTGCTTGTACAATCACACAACCTCGCGCATTTACACACAGGGAAAGAAAAAATTACATTGATGCGCAAGCAGAGAGGATAACCAACAATTACAGCCTCTTTTTTTTTTTCTTTCTTTCTTTCTTTTAAAACTATTTCCACACCGCGATGAATGCATCAACCACCTACACCCACGCACCCAAAATCACTCTCTCTTTCTCTCTTCTCCCTCTCGCTCTCTCACTTTCTTTCTTTCTCTCTCTCTGTCTGTATCTCTCTGTTGACCATCAGTTTCGCTGTCCACAATTCCATTCTCCCAGTGAACACCGTGTGGTTGCCATTTAAAATTTTGCAGCAAAGATCACGCCCATATACACACAGGAGTCAGGGGAGATAAATACATACATATACACGCATACAGACGCACAGATACAGATTTAGATAGAAAGGAACACCAAACTTTGCACTGACGGAATAAAACTATTGTCAGACCGATGCAAACCACATCAACCAATAACATATAAATAAATAAATAAATAAATAAAATATCTACTTTTATAAGTGGGCACCGCAACTCCTTTTACCTTCCATTTCCTCCTTGTTGGGTGTAACCCTCTCTGCCACCTCCACAACTGTTGCCGGACAAGCCGTGCCTTCTTTCAGAGAGTTTACATATATATATATTTTTCCTTCATTCCTTATATATATATATATATATATTTTTCGCTCCCTTCCACTTTTCTTTTTTCTCACATTTCTCCCCGTTCATTCCCTTCAACCCCCTTTCATTTTTCTTCTTCCTTCTTCTCTCCCCCATCCGCACAAATCTCCAAAATACACGTACATCGCCAGAGAAGTTGACCACACAAGTACACGCCACTCCGCCGCAAGCTGGGCAACAGGGAAACGTGTGCCTTTCTATCCACTCCCTGTACTCAAAGGGCGTGTCATTTCGAGGGCAAAAAGCGTGATGGTGACAGTCGGCGTATCCACGCTGACGCTGGTGCCTCGTGTGCGATCAACATTGTCAATTGTACCCACGCCCTCTTCGTCGCTCGGTGAGTCTGTAAGAAAAAAACTATGAACAGAGATGACCTCTGAAGCAGAGACAAGTGTCGAGAAGGAAACCAGCGCCGAACCCACGTCTGTGTAATCGTTGACGGATGAAAAAGAACTACACGCGACACTCAAGCATAGCGGGCGTCTGTGAATCGACCGCAGGTCAATGACTGTGTGCGCCTCACCTATCGACCAGGCAACGCTACTGGACGCGTCGTACTCCTTCTTCACCTCCAACAACACATGTTGGAGACATGACATGGTGACTTTTATAAATTTGATCGACGCATCTGTCTGAAGAGCACTGCAGCTGGAAATGTGCACGCAAACTCGCGTAACAGGGAATTCGGTTGCGTCCCCCGGGGTCTGAAACAGGCGCGTGTCCAGCATACTTCCACCCCGGCTGCTACCAGTCAAAAGCAAATCCGAAGATCCATCTGAAATAATTTCACCGTTCATTCTCCCAAAGCGTGTCTTTAGTGTGATAGTCCCCAGATTCTGTCGTCGCCCAAATTCCTGATCCTTGTGGGGTTGAAGTGGGAAGTGATGTGTTCCTGTCCGGCAAAGATCTTTAATTGAGATGCGAGCAACGCCGAGTACGTCAGACAAGTCGATGTTTGTATCCCACACCTCCAAAGTGAAATGACTTAAAAGCTCCGGTAAAACGGGTAAAACAAACGTGGCCTTTGGGTACGACCACCGTGGGACTGTGCTTCCGGAAACCAGCGGTGCAACCAACACGCGTCTCCGTCCAATTCTTGCGGTGACAAGCGGATCAATTTGAAGGTCATCAAACCCCGTGCCCTGAAGATTGTCACACCCACGGACATCGATGGATAACAAGAAACCTTCCTCGTTGCTCTCATTAAGCAAAGAACCTCTCCTTGAAGGCGGTGGTCGCGGAACCTCCTGAACAGGAAACGAATGAGACACCACAGTCAAAGCCCCACGAGTTCCCACGGGAAGCTCCATACGGTGACGCCGTGTTCCATTTGGGGTCACCGTCATCTCTGCAGTGCCAATTTTATTAGACTCATTGTTGTCGTATACCTCAAGCCGGTAGATGACCGAACACCCTTCAAGCGTGGGACACATGATAAAGCACGATGCCTCATCCTCCGTCCATTTTACATTGTGCGTGCTAAAGCTGAATGCGGTGCGCAGTATGACTTCTCCGTTCACTCCACGCACAATAACAAAAGGATCAGGTGTGAACTCTTCCAAATCCGATGTTAAATGCAAACTGTCCAGGTGTAATAAGAGAACCCTGGATGGCCGACACGACGCCTGCCGTTCCACAGAAGTCGCCTTAAGACCAAGAATAGACACCGAAAGACTACCGTAGACTTCGTCTGGACCCCCTTGTGCCCTGAGTAAAGGGAAGGTATATATGCCTGTTCCACCAAAGGCCAAAATATCCGCCGGGGTTTCATACGACGCCAAAAACGCATCACGGTGATACAAGTCAAAGCTAACAACACCATCGCTTTTAACCGCACAGAAACTACCTTGCCCTGGCCAAGACGGCGAACGAGTCTTGGGGAAAACTTTTGGGGTACGTAGAATTTCTCTGCTTTGACCATCGCCCTCCACGGAAACACGAATAATGGCCTCGATGCGATGCTTTAAACCGTGAACGCCTAAAATTTGCAGGTATACTGTCGTGCCGTCTTCTGAGGAATCCTCATCATCGTGATCATCAAGGCGTTTATTCAAGCTACTGTACTTGGAAGCCGTAACAGCCATCATGCAAACCTCAATCCGTGCCCCAATATCGTCAGTTGATTCCGATAAACCAAGTTCTTCGGCTTGCATTGGTAAGGATCGCAAGCCCACGCCCCCATTTTCTCGGATATCACTTGTAGGCAGTGTGGCTGAATACGCAATTTTGCCTTCATCCTCGGCATCACATATTTTAAAATAAACCTCTGAATCGGCATGAATAAAGTGAATAAATGAGGCAGCTTCAATGGGCCACACTGGTTCCTCAAGGTTCTCCATAACCGGAGTGCGCATAAGAACACGAGCATTTGTGGACACTTTTACTATGGGTGACTTCACGGCCTTATCAATGTCGATACCCTTACAACTCCTAACATGCATCAGCAATAAAACTAATCCTTCCTTCTTTTTGGTGAGTTTTCTCGTGTCCTCCTCAAACCACTGTTCCTCCGGTTGAGATGGCAAACAAACGCGAACCATTTCCTGAAAGTAACTCTGATCATCTAACTTAACGTATCGATCTAATGCTGATTGAAACATGGAAGCGGTGATCTTTGCCTTCTGTGAAAGATCAATACTATTGGCCTTTGTCCAACTGCTGGCGTTCCCCTGCGCAGATGTGCTTATGTTCTCTGAGACTTGAGACACAGTGAGGGTACCCATGGCACTGGTTCGGCTACAAAAACTAACGCTTCGGCTCAACCGTTGATTACATCCAGCTGAAGCGGTACGGGGTGGAGTACGCCTCAAGGAAAACCCTGAAGTTGGCCGCAATGAACGTGAGTGCGACGGAACTCCACTCTGTGGGCGGGATCTTAGTGTCAAACTTCCTAATTCCTCAAATAAACGCTGTGTGCCAAACTGCCCAGGGGGGGAAAGCTGAACTTCAGGTGTGTGACTGCGTCGACGTGTTGTTGTAGCTGCAAAATCTAAACCGGTGCGTGGGCTAATGATCGGGGGGGCCTCAGTAACCGGTAACGGGTTCCCATCGCTGTACGCGGTGATACCGTCAAGGGTGTAGACTACGGGGGAGGGAACAACATATTGAGGCAGCGCGAGATTATTTGCGGTTGTGTTTTCCGAAGACAATTCTTCTAATGGCTCTAACTCATCGTCAAAGATAAGCGTAATCTTGCTCTGGTTGATCTGCCGAAGAAGAATCGGTTGACGCTCTGTGGGCATTAGAAAAATCTGTTCAACTAACACCTGCTGCATTTCATCAACATCCGCGGAAAAGTCACAGTCCACAGCACTTGAACTCTTCTTATTGGGTACAGATATCATTCCCCCCACACGCCAACCGAGTTCGTTCTCAACATTCTGTTCAAATTCTCGCCGTTCACTACGCTTCGACACATCCGTGCCCTCTTTATCTTCTAGTGGGAGGGTAGACTTGTCTTTCATTGCGTATGCATTCCAGTCAAAATCAATGTTCTTCCCCTCGGATTGCTCCAGCAGTGACGACGGCAACTGGGCTGGAGCCCGTGAATCACCCGTGTATGAAAGTGTCTCCCTCTTTGCAAGCGAGATCGCGTCAACAGCGTCTGGAACCGTCGGCAAATGGGATCCTGAGCCCGTAATTTCCTCAATGACGCTGTTGGACCCATGTTGTGCTCGATACAACTCAATACCCTGCCGACAGATTTCCACCGCCTGGGCGCCCGCATTAATGGTGGAAAGGGTACTCATGATCTCAGTCACTGAAAGGGACCATCCATCTACAGAGGTACATGTAATCACATTCGTTGGCCAACGATGCGGGTGAAGACAAAACTCGCCCACAAATTCTACCGTTGATCTTACAACGCGATCCCCATTTCCATCCACCAACATCACGCTCCCACGCCCAATGATAAAGAGTTGATCGCATAGCGTATCTTTTGCAAACAATGTCTGATTTGGAGGAAGAAGATGTGGCTTTGCTGCCATTGCCAAAGAAATGCGCACCTTCTCCGTACTTTGGCTCAGACACGGAACTCCAGCGAGTAATCCGGCAAGTCCCATGATATTTCGATTCTTCCCTTCCTCCAACCAGAGTTCCCGTCGTTCTAGCGCTGTTTGTATCACGGCATTATACAACTGTGGTTTCTTCCGCAGGTATTTCATTAAATGCTTTCGATGTAGACAGTAAACCTCACACATTGTGCTGGCGACAGCACGACAGCAACGAGGTTCGTCAAATAAAATGCTTACCTCACCAAATGATGACCCTAAATCAAGCTCTATCAGCGGTTGATTCTTGACTACTACCTTTACAATTCCACGTCGAATGATGTGCATGTATGGATAATAGTCCCCCTCGCAGAATAACGTGTCACCTATGCAAAACACCTTTACTGTCATTAACCGAGCAAGACGTATTCTGTCTCTTGAGCTGAACAATGACCACATCCAACTTCGACGAAGTACCAACGATGTGGGAAAGTATTTTTTGTTCACTATCTCCTCACATATGGGTGCGATAGAAAACTTTAAGCAATCCAGCACGCATCCGCCGGAGTGCTGTAAAACGTAACTATTAATTACATTCCACACCCATCGAGCAGGCAACACAGCCACATCGGCATACCCATTTGCTGCTATGAGCGAAGTTGAGACATCCCTACAAAGAACAGCCTGATCGCAAAATACTGCTGGGGCTACATGTCGGCAAATTTGGGGTCTAGTCAAGGAGGTTGAAGAATCCAAATAGTCCTTTTGTTCTTTCACTTCACCGTACAGCAGAACTACAACCCCAGTAGAGATGTAACTTTCATTCGTGTAAACAATGATTTCATTCGGTTCCAAATAAAAATACAATGCCTCTTCCGCAAGCAGCGTAAAAACTTCATCCGGCCAATCCGCCATAATTGAATCAGAAGAACGGAGGGCGTGGTGAATGGAGTTCGTTGTATACACCCGCATCGCATTCTCCCCAGGCCACCGCTTTCTTTTTCTTATCCTCAAAACTCTTCGCATAATCACAGGGCAAAGAAGCCTCCGCAAAACCTCCATTGCCTCCTGTGCCTCGGCTGAGTGAAAGTCTATCGGCTTGGGCGTTTGGGCCAAAAAAAGCACACTCTCCCGCCGTGGCTTGGAGGGGCTCGGATAAATTGCTTCATAGCCGCTGCGCACACCAGAGCTAACGGGCCGCGAACTTACCAGTGGACTGTGCCTATGCTCCTGCACCCCATTCAGCTGATGGGAGATCGACGAAAATGATGTCATGGGCATGCGGAAAGGTGCAAAAAAGTAAATATAAAAAGATATTTAATCCGTTTCTTCAAAACACGTTGTATACGGCACACACACACAGACAAACTAAGAGCAAGTGACAAACTACAACAACAACAAAGCAATGAATGGCAATCAAAGCTAATATATATATATATATGGAACGCAGTGAAACTTAGTTTTGTGCCTTTTTTTAAAAATGTGATGTGTCTGTGTCTATTTCTCTGTGTGTTTGTGTGTGTGTGTGTTTCTTTTTTTCCGCCCTCCTTTTCCCCTTTTATTCTTTGGATCTTCGGCTAATTATATCCTCCGCCACCCGGTACTCCGCTTTGTTTGGGAGAAGAAGGGCAGGGGGGTGGGGGATGAGGGGGAGGGCGGGGGTGGGGTGAGCCGGTGGTTCCTTCTGCGTCGACTCCGCCCTTCGCGCACAAGAAGAGAAGCAAGCAACAAAAAGGGGAGAATAAACGTGGATGCGTACGAGAAAAAGTGGCAACAACGGGAGACGATCACCCGCCGCCTCAAGGAGAAGAGGTGAAAGGAGGAAAGAAGGAAGGAAGGAAGGGAAAAAAACAAAACAACAACAATAAAGAGGGAACACACATAAAAATTCCACACAATGAGCTTCTCAAAGTGGTTTCATCATTACACGCCACAGTGACATGGTGCCACACTGCGGGAACCAACTCGCCTCTCTCGCTCCCCCTTCAATATATACACAAATTCCCAATCCTTTGCCACACAAGACAGCATAGGAAACTTGACTCCGATGATAATGGCGGGAAAAAAGATAAAAAGAAAGAAAAGATGCCAACAGAACTTAAATAAACATGCGGTGATGATGGAAAACAGCAATGAACCCACAGGAAAGAGTGGAATAATAAAAACAACAACAACAACAACAATCAGCCACTTCCAACGACACGACTCTCGTATCTGTTCCTTTTCTATGAGGCAGTCTTAAGTACTGCAAGCCGCTCTGCAGCTTTCCTCTTGGCTTCCATTTTCACCTCTTCGGTGTCGCAATTAACACGTGCCTCCAGCGTGTCATGTAATTTGTCCACCACCGAAAGCAGCCATTCCACGCCCTCTTCCAGGGCAGGGTCCTCTTCAATGCCGCAGGATGCCACCACGCGGTATGCCGTATTTCGTCCAAACAACTTGTCCAAAAATCCATTTGGGATGACTTTCGTGCCTCGAGCATTCTCTAAATCCTTTTTGTTGGCAAGCACTAAAATCGGCTTGCCTTTGATGTACCGGTGTTGTGAGAGGTCTCGAAGAACATTGAGAGATTCCCTCACGACGGCATCATCTGCCGCTGAGTCTATAACAAACATAAGTCCATGACAATCATGGAAGTAATGGACCCAAATGCCACGGAAATTTGCCGCCCCGCCCAGATCGAAGATGCAGATATCATACTTCTCAGTCTGGAATTTTGTCGGGGTGAAGCCAACCGTCGGGGTGGTGTTCACTTCAATTTGGCCGCCCAAAGCCGAGATGAGGGTTGTCTTGCCGGCATTATCAAGACCAAAGGTCCCTAAAGTGATCTTCTTGAGTGGCTCCACCGCACCGTTTACGGGTGGTGAGAGAACTGTGGGATCATACGACTGCTTGCTCTTCTCGGATTCCTCCACCTTTGAAAGCATTTCTCGGAGGTACTCAAACGGATTTTCGGGGCGATCCAGCAGTAATTTCGTCGCCAACAGCTCAAAGAGATGATGGACATTGTGTTGCTTGCAGTATGCAATGCGTTTTTCTTCTTCAGAAGAGGCCATCGGATGTTTTCTATATTTGGGATGATGTCGCAGCTCCTCAGACCCTCTTCTATCCCTCTCTCTTATTCACTCACTCTCCAATACTCTCTTTGTTTACCCCCGCACGCACAAGTAGTGCTGCAGAAAGCAGCGTGAAAGGCGGGGATAGGCAGCAAAGAGAAGTTAAGCAAAAATACATAAATGAATAAATGTCAGTTCCGTGTAAACAACGTCAATTCACACTTCATAAAATTAGTAAACTGAGAAAAAAAACAAACAAACAATAAATAAATAAATGAACATAATGTTTTGACTGGAAAGAGATATAAATACACACACACAAAAGCACATGGACACAAGAACAACAAGAACAACAACAACAAAAAACACCCATTTTCCGTTCCTTCATTTTCCCCTGTGTGCTTGCCATTTGTATTTGTGCGTGTCGGTGTCTTTCCCCTAATTCCTCCAGCGAGTGGAGTTTAGTTTTGTCTTTTTGTTTTTCACACCCTCAACTTCTTACTTTTTTTTTTTTTTCCTCTTTTTCTGCTCCCCTCGTCAACTCACTTCGTGCTGGAGGCCGTGTCCCACACCTTCCTCCTCCTCCCGGATGGCCTCCTTTGCCGTGCGAAGACATTCCTGCAGCTCGTACGACGCGACACTCGGATCGTAGCACTTTTGACAGGTCTTGTCGTCTAGTAACATCTTAAACAACCGCACCACCTGCGTGCGTGTACCGTCCGTCTGGAACAAGTTGTCATCCTTCCAGCGCACAAAGAACTTTGAAAGAACTGGCATAGCGCGATACTCCAACAAGTTCAGTGGCGTTGTTTGAGACGGAACAATATCTTCCAGCAGGCTCAGGATGTCGCCGGCAGTTTCGTAAAACTCGGGAAAGACATCCAACACGCCTATGGCTACGGGAATAAAATCAGCGTCCTCAATACGGGCATTTACCGTCTGTTTTCCCGACGCCTCGGAAGGGAGCCGCTGTGCATCATGCAGCACACGAATATGCTGCGGGAGTCCTTTATATCGAGAAATGTTCAAAATATTAACGGCGGCCTGTACACCGTCGGCGTCAAGGAACTCTTTTCCACCCTCCTTTGGGTAATGCCGCATGATAGACGAAAGCACGAGCGTGATGTAGCGGGTATCTGTGGGGTCTCCGGTGCTTCGTTTGTAGGCCTCCACAATCGGTTTGACGCCGTTGGCCTGCAACACGCGGCGCTCCACATCACCATCCTCGCGTTGGGTGAAGCAAAACAGGCAGATGGATCGAAGTGCCATGACACGGGCGTATTCATCACGGCTATGAGTAAGAGCGCGAAAAACCAGCTCCACACCATTCCGCTTCTTCACGAAGTACTCCGTGAGCGTTGGGTACACGGAGATAAAGTTGATAAGACGCAGGAATTCGTCTGGTTGAAAAAAGACATGTTTTCGCATCTTCCTTGTCCCCTGGCCGAGAAAATCATCGATGGCAAAGTTGAGGAGGTCTCGTCCACCGGCTGCCAGAAGTTCCGACTCCGACAGGATGGGAACGTCCAGCGAGAGATCCATGTGGTCCACCAGCACACGCGCCAAGTAGCCGTCAGCCAGTTCATTGTCCGCCCGCAGCGCCGCAAGCAGAAATCGCATTTGTTTCGGAAATTCAAGTGGACCAAATATCATATCAGGCGGGAGCTCAAGCGACATCGTCTCGGGGTCAACGTCGTGCAGCTCAATCCACTCCATTGTCTTCAGCAGTGGCCTCCGCACCTTCGATACCACCGTCGCAGCCAACTCATCGAAGGGCTCCCGGTTAATAAAGTACATGGCGGCGCAGATGCTGCTCAGCGCCCACGGCCAAATCTGATGAAATCGTTCCCGCGCACGTCCACGCGTAAACCACTCGGGGGCCCGTCGCATCATCCTCCCGGACGAGTTCTCCTAAAGGGCACCGTCTGTGATCGCCCCGCCCACCACCACCCCAACAACAGCACGGAGAAGAGAAAAGTCAAGAGCGAAGGAGGTTCAAAAATCAAAACAGAAGCAAACAACAACAAAAACAAACAAAATAATTCAAAATAAAGAAACAGAAAAAAAGACGCCCGTCAACCAACAACAGCAACAAAAAAACAGGATAAAAGTTTCAAAAGGCTTCCCCCACCCACACACACACAGACAGCGACAGCAGATTCCTCACGACGCAAACAACTCTCTTGGCTCTCTCCTCTTCCCATTCGTTGGTGATGATTACTCTGTGGGAATCAAAGGAGCCAACACACGCTCATACGCCTCACGTTGCACCACCAAGTAGCCTTTCTCCTGGTGCACCACCGCGTGCCTCTCGCCGCCCGAGGAAAGAGCGTTCAACAACAACTCTTTCTGCACCGCAGTAACGTTTCGAAGCAGTACAAGATTTCGACTAAAAATAAGCCGCCGACACTCCTTCTCCCACGTCATCAGCTGGTCGCAAAACGATTGTGGAATGATTTCGTCAATACGGATATCAGAAGCATTTTTAAAACGTGTTCCAGCACCCAAGACGGACAAGCCCGACGCTTTCTTGGAATCACCCTCTCTATGATGCATCAACATGGACGGATGTGCCTTCACCGCAAGAAACTGTAAGATGTGCGAAGAGCCGATACCTCGCTTTAAAGCTGCAGCAAATGTCCTCCGCGTAACTCGATAACAAGCAATCATCTGGTCTACTTCTGCATCCCTCTCCGCAAACTGATTGAGAATATTCAAAAGATCAGGATTTTTTGTGTAAGCATAGAGGCGAAAGTTCGCCTCTGTGATGATGGTGTCTTCATCCTCGCGACGAACGCGACCCATCGAGTTCCCCCCGCTATCAAGCAGCGCAGCTGTGCAGAGTGGGGCCGTGGAGCTCCAGCAAACCGCATGATGAAAGTGAGGCGACAGCGCAAAGCAACGACGACCACCAGAAATGAGAGGATACACGAGCCCCACCTCCGACAGACGTGCCAGAATTTGAAAGGCGGCCAAATCCTTTTCCTTTTCCGGGAACGGGTAAACAAACTGACTGGTATTAAGAGCGAACAAAACGGCTAATAGTTGCCACAGTTCCGCACGCGTCACACCACTGTTTTTTGTCAGTACCAAAATGCGATCGAGGGCCACGGAGACCAACGTCCACCATTGCTGCTGCAGGGGTTGCATGCAAAAACTCAACCCCTCAGAAGTAATTTCCCTCGTCTCTGACGAAGTTGGGACAAGGCGATAATACTGCAACAT